TGGGTTGCTACACTCGCTACGTAGTGAAGGTCCCTGTTGACGTAGCGCTACACAGCGCTACGCAGATCAGCCAAAAAAACTACACGCGCTACAGTGGTGCTACAGGCGCTACATGGCGCTACATGGCGCTACGTAAGTGGGTACCTTGACTACGGCTGGACCTAGGGTTTGCTAATGGCCTAGTGCAGTTTTTTGAGGTACTTAAGTATTCTGAGATTTGAGGGTTTTTTTGGGGGGGACTCAAGTTTTCTTTTGGAAATGAATAATGACAAGCAGACTCGACCGCCATAACGACTTCGGGCTGCGGAAAGGCAGAATTCGGTTGAACAACCACCCCTTTTTGAACACGGATCTGCGGCCCGACCACTCCAATCAGTTAGTGCTCGGCTTCTGATTGCGTCATTCTCTTCTCCTCTCTCTCTCCTCCCTTTGCTCGATGCGCGCCAAAGATGCGGCTCCAACGCAAGACAAAGTCGTGCTCAACAAGCCGACGTTCTGCGGCACGATCACCGAGGCCCGCTACGCCGCCCGCGAACGACGCGAGGAGCGCCGAAACAAGCCCCAATCGTGGCTCGTGCGCAAGCTCACGGTCGCGGTGACGCTTGGGATCATGGGGTATACGGGGTATGTGTATGCGGGAAGGTTTGCGGTGCGATTGATGCATGGGGGTAGGAGGACGGAGGGGAGTGAGTGTGCTTCTCGCCCCGAGCGATGGAGGGCTGATTATTTTTGGCGTACTAGTTGGGCTGCTAGTGGGATGGTCGATATTGTACGCGTGGATGGTCTGGGCATATATCAAGGTGTGCTTCCATTTCTGCTATTCATTTGAAGCTAACTTTAAACGCAGATAATAACCACCCCACCCGGGAACGCCTGCGATGTGAGTTCTTATGCCCTTCATACATTCTAACCGTTCACGCTCTGGCAGTACGTCGCCAAATCCGAACAGCCACTCCTCCCGCCCCCACTTCCAACGCGGACGCAGGAGGAATGGGATGCGCACGACGCGCAGAACGGGCACGTGTACGGCAGTCGCCCAAACGCGCGTGCGCTCGCGGATATCGAGAGTGGGCGCATCGGTGGCCCGGCGTATTCCAACGGGGTACCAGCAGAGCCTCCTGCTGCCCACTTGCCAAACGGGAATGGCAATGCCAATGTCAATGCACCCCCGCCCCGCGGGCGGTGGGGTCGCCGCGACACGGGCGACTCTGGTTTTTCCAATCACTCGACTCCAAGAAGTGCGAACGCGCAAAGGAGAGATCCCCCCCGCGCACGCACCTCCGTGCCGTTGCCCGCACCGCACCGCTTCTGTGCGCGGTGTAGGATTGTGAAGCCCCATAGGGCGCACCATTGTCGGGTTTGTGGGACGGTGAGTTGTTTCACGAGTTTCTTTTTCATGACCGATATCCACGCGATGTCTGGTCCGAGCGCGACCCGTCAATGCGAGATGCAGATGTGCGGTGGAGCGTTGTGTGCGGCGGATCCGCGTGGGTGCTGCACGTGGAGACGGGTACGCGACCTGCGTAGGCGTGACCCCCGGTAGGAGTGGGATGCGCGATTGTGTGCGACTGCAAGGGCGCCGTCAAGGTGTTGGTGTACCCATCCTTGACTTCGAACGGAGACAGAGCTGCACGAACTACCGTCTCTGCGCCGAGCTTGTTATCGGCGTCGGCCTCCCTCCCTCCGAGGGAGTCGGTCGATCCTTCCCGCTTACCTCGTGCCTCCGTTTCCCTTTCATTTCCCGTCAGCCCCATAAATCCTCCCTCCGCATGCCAACTAACATCCAAACGCAGTGCATCCTCAAATTCGACCACCACTGCCCCTGGATCGGCCAGTGCGTCGGCGCGCGCAACCACAAGTTCTTTCTTAATTTTCTCTTCGCGACCGCGTGCTTTACGGCGTACACGTTTGTGAGCGTGTTGGTGTGGAACGTCGGGTGGCGGGGAGGGGTTGGGCAGGTTAGTGTCGTTGGTGTTCTCTGGTTTCGGTTGCCGTGTCGAGCCATACTGAGCTGATCGCCTTCTTTTTCTGCAGAACGACGTGGACCCGCAAGAGGTGGTACTTATGGCGCTGGCGGCGCTGTTCTTGCTGTTCACGCTCCCGCTAGGCGTGGACCATACGCGCATGATTTTGGGGTCGCTGAGTACGGTGCGTCCTTCACGTTATGGGAGGGAGAACTCGAGCTGATTGGATGGATGTCTTGTTTTTTCTTTCATTTTTGACTCGCTTTGGCTCGCCGACACCTTTATCGCTCGGATCGACATCGACATCGACGCCTCGCCTCGCCTCTGCGTAATACCGACTCTCTCTACCTTCCGGACGTCCTACCTTCGCGGCTGGTCCTCTTCGGCGCCCACCCACCCACCCTCCTTTCCTCATGCCCTCCTTCCTGCTCTCCGCTCCCTCCCGACGCTACGCCCCTCTATTCCCATTTCCCTCTTTCCAATCTTCTTACGTATTCTCCCCACCGCCTCCTCCCCTCCCTCCCTCCTCGTCCCCACAAACCTCTCCCCTCCTCCTCCCCACTCTCCTCCTCCCCTCTTTCCTCCTTCCCTTCCCTTCCCCCTTCTCTTCTCCCATCATCTTGATACAATCAATTCCCTTCCCCCGCTTCCCTCCCCCTCCTTACATCCCCTTCATCCGATCCCCTACGCTCGTTCGGCCAAACACGACACGCGACCTACGACACGCGCACAGGTCGAGTCCCTCGCCGCGCGCCGCCTCAAGGAGCGCGAGGATGCAGCGCTGGAGGCGGAGGAGGGGCTGGGGTGTGCGGATGTGCGGTGCGTGTCTTGCTTTGGATTTGGATTTGGAGAATTTGGCTTTAGATTTTGGGGGTTGGGCTGCGGGCGTACCTCAAAATATGCGTGCGCCGAGGGCTGGGGTGTGGCGTCGTACGAGTAATGCGTGCGTTTGCCACCGTAGATAGGGACGGTGCGCGGATGTATGCACGCATCGCGTGGGGCCTGCTCCACTGACTGGCATGGATACGGTGCGCGCCTGTACACGCACGGGTCGGTCGGTCGCCGCCCGCCCTCACCGCGCACTTCCTGACCTCTGACCTCGGTGGTCCATACTCGCACAGCCGCATACACGACGCTCGGAGATTGGTGCCTGTGCGTAAGCACGCAGAAGCACGTTACGCACGGGCTCCGCTCTGCGTGCACGCACGCTACCCCCATAGCTCTCCGCTCTCCGCCCCTCCCCCTTCCCTTCCCTTCCCTTCCTGCCTTTGCTCTTCCTCTCCCTTCCTCCTCCCCTCTCCCCCCGCCTCTTCCTCGCGCCCTTCCCTTCCCTTTCCTCCCCCATCCCATCCCTCCCCTCCCCGTCATCCGCGCCCTCGGCCTCGTCCTTGCCCTCCTCCCCTTACCCTTCCCCTCCCCTCATCCTTCTCGCTTCTCCTCGCTTCCCTCGCTTCACTCATCCTCCTTCGCGTCCTTTCTTTCTTCTTCTTCTTCCAATCCCGATATCACCGCCGCTCACACCCTCCCCTCCCCACAGCGCGAAACGGCGCATCCGCACTTCCTACGACGCCGAGTGGGGCCACCCCGCGACGGAGGGCAACGTGTGGTGGGCGGGCTCCCGGCGCGCGGCGTGGGAGGACGTGATGGGGCGCAGTTGGGTGGGATGGATTTGTGAGTCGTCTTTTCTTCATTCAAGGTTCTTGGGTCGTTGCTGGAGTTTGGGAGATGTCGGGGGTGTGGAGTGCGGCGGAGCGCTTGGGTGTGAAGGAGGACAAAGAGGCTCCTGCGAGCTTCTTCGTATCATCGTCCCATCTTTGCTTTCGCATACCCCCCCGGCTCGTGTGCGAAGGAGGGAGCTGGGGCGTTTTGGGCGGTGGTGACGTCACCCAGCGCGGGCGTTCGGTGTATCGTCTCAACGCAGCCTACTATGGGCGCGCGGTCTCGACTTGAGCGCCGGGGCATCGATGGAGGGAGAGGCATTGGATCTTGGGGCGCCACGCCGAGTGGGCGGAGCAGGTCTGGATACGACGTACGAAGCGAGGAGAGCTGAACAGCGAGGTGTCGTGTCCGCCCAGGACACGAAGTACAAATGGAGCAGGGATGAGGAGAAGGGCGGGACAGGGGAGGCTCACCTCCAGGGATGGTGTAGGCAAGGCGCGGAGGTTCGCAGTCTTGCGGCGGCGTGACGACCTCAAGTGAACGGAGGCGCGGCGGGTTCATATCGCGTTTCGTCACCGCGAGACTCAACAGGCTTGGCTTTGCTTCGGCGGCACCTCGGGTGTGGACGAGAGTGTTCTTCTGGCGTCGTGGTTTCGCTTCGTCCTGTCCCGACGCGACTTTGTCCACTCATTGTGTCGGCTGTTTCGCTTCGCTGCCAGTCTACCGGTCTGTGGGGTGCACCATGTTATCAAAATATGGGCAAGCGGGACTTGAGTCGAGTGCGCGGGAAGGAACCGAGTGCGACCCGCTTGGTCCCTGCCGTCCCGCTTTCTTCTTCTCTTTCTCTTCGTCCCTCCTTCTTCATTTCTCTCCCTCCCTTCTCGTTCCCTTCTTTCATCCTTATTAACACACGCTTCTACAGTCCCCGTCGGTGCCCCCCTCGGCGACGGCCTCCACTACGTTCCCAATCCGCGCTTCGATCCCTCGGGGCGGTGGCGACGGCGAAGCGAGTGGCCAGCGGAATTACGATGACGGTCCATCTCCACTCGCTGGAGTGGATGCAGGGCTGCGGCTACGAGGGCTGCGGCTACGAGGGGACGGCGCGCCTGCGCACGCATGACGAATATCACTGCCCGCGTCGCGAAGTGTGTACGCGCCGAGGAGCAGGGAGGATACAACCGCAGGAGAAGGATATACGTTATTCCATTTTATGTCGACGCATTTGACGAGCGGGGAAGGATACATACGACGGGTGGATGGATGGACGGACACACGCAGGCTCCAATGTACTTCAGTCTCAATATCGAATGGTCGGGATAAACTGCATGTAGAATTTTTATTCAAGAATAAATAAAAACGAAATTGAGACGCAAAAGATACACTGAAGGGGAGTCGAACCCCTGCCGCTTGCTTACACTTATGGAAGGCAAGCATGATAACCGCTTCACCATCAGTGTCTGTCGATGGATCCTACGATGACATATGAAACAGATCCGAGAAAAGCAAGAATCGTTAAAAACGGTTTTTGGAGCGTTGGAGCTGAGAATGAAACTCTGAGCGCAGATTTTCATATCTCAAACAAAGTTAGTCAGTGAAAGCCTCAATTCGAGGTTGAAAAAACCTTTCAAAGCATGCTTTTCAACTTGAAAGAGTTGTAGCCAGTGTAATAAGCACTAGGTATGTGGTATTATGTGTGCCTGTACAATTAGGACCTTGAGTTGAGATGCGGTCTGAGAGATGAAGGGCGGATTGTGTCACGGATATCACATGCAGTTACTTCCCGTATGCTCGCGGTCGCATTTCCATTCTTTATTCCTAATTTCCATTGCTAATCCTTACCACCTCATGCTTCCCTTACCGACAATTACCTTGTTTCATGGCTACCATGTTTCATTATTTCTATTTCACATCCTCTGCCAATATACTGTATATAATCTGCTGGCTAGAAATATACTTTACTTTTTAACCTTTAACCTCTTCTGCCATAAGCGCACCCTCGCAATTAGCTTAATAGCATTGCTCACCTGGCCAATGACTCGACAAAGGCTTCGCGCTCGTCATACTCCAGGACCCCATTACCAATCAGTAACAATCGGCCTGCGGCCTGTTCTCTTATTTGGTAAACTTGCGCTTATTCAGGAAAGCTTACGAGTTTCTAGTGAACTTCAAGGATTACATCTATACCTTAACAGATTGTTGAGAGAAAACATTCTCAAAAGTCATCTGAGTGGAAATCTTCATGGGTACCAGGGTAACAAGCTTATTCTCTGTAGAAGTACGATGAGTAAAAGGCCTCAGTCACACCCAGAATGTGGTGAGAGACTCAAATATATTACCTCTAGAAGTACAATGAGTAAAAGGCTACAGGTAGTTAAGTAAGTAAGTATGCTGTAAAGTATAGTGAATATACGCACCCTCAGTCACACCTAGAATGTGGCAAGAGACTGAGGACCATCATGCGGGTCCCCACCATTTATATGGTGCAGATACGATTGACATCAAAAGTATAGTAAATACGGAGAAAGAAAAGGAAATAGAGACCGTCCCAATTGGGTAGTGAAACACCAAAGACTGCATTAGGAAAGCTCACACATCAACACTCCCCCTGGCATTGAGCCTTCGCAACGATCCGCTCGTGGATGACCCGGGGTAGTGCCTTTGTCAGAATGTTGGCAACGTTCTCCTTTCCGGGGATAGACGATACTGTAATCTCACCCTCCTTGATGCGCTCATGAATGTAATGGTATCAGATGTCAAGGTGTTTCCAGAGAGCATGCGCTTTAGTGGTCTCTGTAAGGCTAATAGACCCAGATTATCCCCGTGCAACTGCATCGGGAGCTCCTGTGGCAGGAAAATCTCTGACAACCAACTCTTCATCCACATCACCTGCTGAGCTCCGCGTCTATGAAAGTAAGCTTGTCGATAGACAGGCTGGTCGATCTGAGTTTGAATTACCAATACAAATTAGTTACCCCAAAAGGCTATTTATTAACTCACTCATTTTTCGATGAAATCACAAGTTATTTGGACCCATAGGACTATATTGCACCCTAGAGTCCATTGCAATTTATCTGAGGGTGAATATTCAAGTTTTGAGAGTGCTAGATGAACATTAGCATCCTTTGTTGTTGCTTGTCACTAATGTCACTCGCTCGGAAAGTCGGTCTGGAATAGCCATTTTTGGTAAGATTTTTGTATTGGTAATTCAAACTCAGATCGACTGGCCTGTCTATGGAGGCTTGCCTCTATAGCCAGACAGTCACTGGTCTATAACTACAGCAGGGAAAACTGAATTTCTGCATGAAAAATGTCAAGGAATGGAGCTGTTCCAAATTTGGACAAGCATCATGATGCAATCACAGGCAGCCACTGGTGATTGTGACCCCAGAGGAACTGGTATCATGAGAACCTCGTCGGTGTCAAGTGGCGGACTGCTTAAAGGACCGCGGAAATCAAATGGAAATCCGTGATTAACACATGATGCTTCCCACGCCGGAAATTCAACATCCGTCGCTCTGTGGGCCAGAGTGTTGGAATTCCGAGGCCGCCACTCGCTGTCACCGAGCCGCCGCTGTTGCTGATTGACTTGGTACATTGCACGACAATATGCTATCTCCTATCTTGCCTACTTGTACTCTCTTTGGATTAATTCTCTCCAGTTGCTCTTTAGTTAGTTATATTTGTTGCTACCAGATGTTGTATAAGTACATAGTAATTCCGAATGAATCCCCACGTGTTTGCGAGGGTCATCTGCTTTTCCCGGGTGACGGACGTGGACACCGGTCACTTCAACACAGAGTGCGGTATTTTTTGAGGATTTAGAGGATGTAATAATGTAGATAATTTATATTTCGCAGCTTCCAGGCAGAATAATGGTAAAAAGATCCATACCAGCAACAGAGTGCGTCCGGGAGCCCTGGGAAGCGTCACGTGATGATCACGCTTTTCGCGGTCCTTTAAGGGGCCTGCCACTTGAATCAGACTCCACATAGGTAAGATTTAACGACTGTCATAAATCTTGTGTTGAGTCTGACTACAGGAGACTAATGAGAACCCAGGCCAGCTTCAATCTTGCTCATGGATTTTTTACCTCTTGGATGACTCTTGTAGCACAAAATGTGTTTTTTGTTTTCTCAACTTCACAATTTCGCGCTTTCCCACGTTACTATCACACGTTCATGTAACGCAATAAATGTGGATGGCGCCTACCTTAGCTTCTCTATATATCTAATCTGACAATAGGGGTGCTCAATAAAGAGTTCGACCCAGGTCAGTTCACGTTTTAATTATATTTTTTATAATATTCCGCCAGCCAAAAATATTAAAAAGTTGAACTGACCTGGGTCAAAGTATTTATTTAGCACCCCTAATGAAGGTCTTCATTCCGCTTCAAAGTTTTTTTTTCCCGCTCTAGTGCATACTATCTGTGATTTGGTTGTTGGAGGCCCGTCCCCATTTTGACAAAAACCACTGTCATGCCATGAGTGGGTTGGTGGGGGGGGGGGGCTGAGGATTATAAAGGTAGTGATCTGGCAGGATTTTGGCGAAACTTGGCCTAACCTACGTGATTTTGGAGGAGACCGTGTATTGGCAAGGTTTAGGGATGAGACTTTTGTGGAGGGGATGGGAGCCATAAATGGAGTGGGACATCAGTTAGTAGGTTTCCATTGAAAATAGGAACATAGGATTGAGTAGCAATGAGCTGATCTTTTGGGGGGTGGAATAAATGTTAGGGCAGCGAAAAAAATCTGGTGGACATGGCAGGATACATAAAATTGGCCCGGAGCGCAATAAATTTGGTGGCTGCCAGAAAACTGTACAGCGAAAGGTGCAGTGTAAGGTCATGTTATCGTGGTGTACCACACGGTATTTGGAGTAGGCAGAAAATCTAAAGAGCAGGGTCAACGTTCAAGGACGATACGAGAAAGCAAATTGTGCGCATACTCCACTGGAGCGAGATTTTGTGGTCCCATAAGGGAAAATATTCGTCGAGACTTTTCGTCAGTGCAGGCGTTGCTGTCGCGATAGTGATATGCACAATGGCCAAATTCGGGAAGTGCTCTCGAATCTCAGAAATCCCGCGGTCTATCTGCAGACACGTATTGAGATCCAGGTTCGGAGACGGTAGGAGGTGGAAGCGGAAAGCGCGGACAAGGTGCCGACTCGAACTATGAATCGTCGAAATCGTTTCGAAGATTTGGGTATGATCGGGACCAAATATGGTCGCTGCAACCTCGGTGAGCTGTTCAAATGGTGAGAGGTCAACAGCCTCAAACTGGGGGCAGGGCACTAGTCAGTGCATATGGATTCCTGGAAGCCAAAAGACATACCACGTCCGCGGCCACCAGTTTGATCGTCCTAAGCGCGGGACCCAGAACGCTCCGTCGAACCACGCCGGTGTCACGGGTGATCCTCAAAGCCTTCAGGCCAGAAAAATCGAATGGACACCGGGGATCGTCTAGCCACCATTCAAGATTGCTAGGAAAACCATATCCGAGCTCCAGAGAGTACAGTGCGATGCGGTGATGGACTGCAAACCCTTCAAGTTCCGCGCATGTTGGTGTCTGCGTGTCAGAAATCGAAGTTCCCAACAAGAGATGCTTGAGGTTGGCTGAGCAAAGTTCCCATATTCGCAGAAAGTTGTCCGTGTTTGTGAATCTGCAGAAAATCGAGAAAGACTCAATGGTCGGGAAACTGAGCAGTCCCCGTATCCCAAAGCACGCCTGAGGCGACAGATTGCTGCCACCGGCTATGTATAAGATTCGTAAGCATGTGAAGGGAAGGCTGCAGATCCGCAAGAAATTTCCTGGTCCCGCGATCTCTGCGTTGACGCGCAGGGTCGATATGAATCCGGCGAGGTGCGGTGCCGCCTCGAGTATTTCCAACAATCTGGAGACGCGCATGCGATTGTCTTGGTTCGTCCCGCTAATGCCTAACGCTATCTCGGAGAATATGTGCGATTGGGCAGGCCAGACCCAGGCACGGTTGACTAGGGAGCATGCGCGCAAATCGAGAGTGGAGTCATGGAGGAAGCCGACACAGTGCTCGATGAGTTCTGGGATGTCGAGTAGGCTTGAAGTTCCGGATCCCATTCCCTGAGGTCTCTTTAGCTCTCTTTGTCTCGACGGGGACTTACATACCGTCGACATGAGTGGCGGTGGGAAGTAAGTTATTGTTGTTGTGTTCTCCGGCATTCATGCATGCCGGGCCAAGAGGTTGGCGGGCCGAAAATAACGCGAGCGGCGGATTGGACCGGTACCAATCAGACCGATCTCCGCAACTAATTCCACCACAATTCATCGGGAAGTTCAGATTTGAACCAAGATTCAGTGGGTGCTGAAACAGTTCATGTTGTTCGTTCCTGCATGGTGCCCTCAGCGAAAAACGAATGAGCAGGGGGAGCGAGGGTAGGGGAAATGATGCTTGCGGACGCTCACTGGCATTGCGCACTCTCGGA